TGGCATTCTGTGGTGTGTGCAGTGTTCTTGACCAGTGCCATAATTCAGAGACATCAGTTCTTCAGTCTTTCTTAGTGTCCAGCTTTCTCATGCATGTGAGGCAATAAATACTGTAGTTTTAGGGTCCGGCACACCTTAGTCTTCACCGTGACATCTTTGCTCTTTCACACTTTAAAGAGGCCATTTGCAGCAGATTTGCCCAACGTAGTACATCATTTGATTTCCTCACTGCTGCTTCCGTGAGTGTTCATCGTGAATCCACGGAAAGTGAAAGCCTTGACAACTTCAATCTTCTCTCCGTTTGTCATGATACTGCTTTCTCGGTCCAGTTGTGAGGATTTTTGTTGTCTTTGTGTTGGGGTGTAACTATACTGAAGACTGTAGTCTTTGATCTTCGTCAGTAAGTACTTCGAGTCTTCTTCACTTTCAACAAGCAAGGTTGTGACATCTGTGTGTTGTAGGTTGTTGAGTTTTCTTTTAATCTTGACACTGCAGTTTTTTCATATAGTCTAGCTTCTCAGATTATTTGCCCAGCATACAGATCAAATAAGTATGGTGAAAGGATACAACCCTCATGCACACCTTTCCTGATTTTAATCCACGTGGTGTCCCCTTGTTTCCTGTGAACTGCTGCCTCTTGGTCTGTGTTCTGCGTGAACACAGTTGAGTGTTCTAGGCTTTCCACTCTTTGCAATGTTATCCATAATCTGCTGTGATGCACGCAGTCAGACTTTTGCATAGGCCGTCAGTAGAACACAGGTGTTCTCTGTTCTCAGCCCAGCTCCATCTGACATTAGCAAATGATAGCCCTCCTTCCATGTCCTCCTCCTCTTCTTCTCTTTTTATTTTTATTGTGATTCGGGTGAAAATTTACAAGGCAAATTCATTTTCTATACAGCAGTTCACAGATACTGTCTCATGACAACAACAACAAAAAAAACTGCACTGCTGTTGAGTCAGTTCGACTCATAGCGAATAGTGACCCCTCGCTGGGTTTCCAAGGAGGTATCTCTGTGGAAGTAGATTGCTCAACCTTCCTTCTGAGGAGTGGCTGGTGAGTTTGAACTGCCAGCCTTTTGGTTAGCAGTCAAATGCCTTAGGCAATATTGCCACCACTGACTGCAATTTCCCACAATGCAATAGCTCTCTTCCCACAGTTACCTCTTCCCTATGTCCTTCCCTCCATGCACTCCTGCCCCCTGAGCTGTCTCCCTGTGCATATACAACTTCCTATTGTCCCATGATTGATCTCTCCAAGGAGTGTCTCTACCTAATGTAAATGTTCAGTTCATATGTCTGTCTATTGTTTGGCTGGAGGCCCAGGCATGGGTTCAATTCCAGACCTAAAAGGCAGCTAGGGGCCATAGTCTCAGGGATTCCACCAGGCTCTATCAGATCAGCAAACCTGATCCTTTTTTGTTCTCCAAATGATTTTGAGTTTTGTTCCACATTGCTCTCTCACTCTATCCAGGATCTCCTACAGAGATCCCCCTCTGAGTGGTTGACAGTGGTAGCCAGGCACCATCTATTTCTTCTGGCCTCATAGTCATATAGGTTGAGGATCGCATAGTGTACCAGTAGCTCGGACTAATTGTTTCCTTGAATCTTTGGCTTTCTTCATTCTTCTTTGCTCTGCACGAGGAGAGACCCATCGTTGTATCTAAATGGCTGCTTGCAAGCTTTTAAGATCCCAGTTGCTAGTCACCAGAATAGGATGTGGAACAATGTTTTGTGTAGTATGGTATGCCAATTGAGCTTGAGGTCCCCTGCGACTATGGTCCCGAACCCACAGGTCCAACTACTTGCTCCCTCTGGGTAGCTGGCTGTGGCCAAGAAATAACTACAGCTATGTCCCTTGTCAGCTCTACTATATACCTGGGAATTCTTTCAGAATATGCAAATACACTTGTAGAAACATTGTCTGCCAATCCTGTACATGATCATGGGCACACTCCCCCCTGCATAGACATACCTAATAGTTTAGCCTGTCTACCCATCTATCCTCCCATAGATCATATTTGCCATCACTGCCCATGTCCTCTTCTGAATCCAGCTTCAGTTTCTTGCGTTTCCCTGTCGACATACTGCTGCAACTCTTTTTGAATTATCTTCAACAAAAGTTGTCTTGCATGTGATAGTAATGACATTGTTGGATAATTTCCACATTCTTTTGGCTCACCTTTCTTTGGAATGGACACAAACACATATCTCTGCCAGTCATTTAGCCAGGTAGCTGTCTTTCAGATTTCTTGGTGTGCATGAGTGAGCACTTCAGCATTGCATCTGTTTGTTGGTACATCCAGTTGGTGTTCAGTCAGTTTCTGGATCCTTGTTTTTCACCAGTTCCTTCAGTGCAGCTTAAACTTCTCCCTTTAATATCATCAGTTCTTTTTTTTTTTTTTTTTTTGCAATATCATCAGTTCTTGATCATATACTGCCTCCTAAAATGGTTGCAGGAGCTCTGGTAGTGTAGTGCCTAAGGCATTTGACTGCTAACCAGAAAGCTGACGGTTCATACCCACCAGCCACTCCTCGGAAGGAAGGTTGGGCAATCTACTTCCATAGAGATACCGCCTTGGAAACCCAAGGAGGGGTCACTGAGTTGGATCCAACTCAGTGGCAGTGAGTTTAGTTTTTATTGAAAATGGTTGAACATCGACTCCTTCTTTTTGGTGCAGCCACTCTGTGTACTCCTTGCATCTTCTGATGCTCCCTTGTCATTGAGTATTTTGACTTTAGAATCATTCAGTATTGCAACTTGAGGCTTGGATTTTTTCTTCAGTTCTTTTAGCCTGCGAGATGCTGCATGTGTTCTTCCCTTTTGGTTTTCTAACTCCAGGTCTTTGCACATTTCATTATTATGGTTTACTTTGTCTTCCTGAGCTGCCTTTTGGAATCTTCTGTTCAGCTTTTTTTTTCCTTCAGTCATTTCTTCCATTTGCTTTAGCTACTCTGCATTCAAGAGCGAGTTTCAGAGTCTCTTCTGACATCCATTTTGGTCGTTCTTTCCTGTCTTTTCGGTGACCTTTTGCTTTCTTCATGTGATACTTTGATACAATCCCGCAGCTCATCTGGTCTTTGGTCATTGGTGTTCAGTGGTCAGATCTATCCTTGAGGTGGTCTCCAAGTTCAGGTGGGATATGCTCTAGGTCATACTTTGGCTTTTGTGGACTTCTTTTAGTCGGGGCTTCAGACTGGTTCATTCAGGTTCGACCCCCTGCTGAGAACTTTCCTTTCCACTGCAAATGTACTGATGCAGAATCTACATTTTAAAAAGATCCTTAAGATTGCTATGAACACACAAGAACCACATGGGGATCTATAAGAATCAGCTGGCAATCTTGCTAAACTCTAGATTGTGGCTGAGTACATCTGGGGTGGAAATACAAATTCTTAGCAGGGTGTTGGACCAGAATGAATTGGTTTGAAAACCTGGTTGTAATTGTCTTCAGCTTCAACTTGAGGGTGCATAGGAGCAATTGATGGTCTGTTCCTCAGTCAACTTCTGGGCTTGTTCTCCCTGAGGATACTGAGCTGCTCCATTGTCCCACAGATGTAGCCGATTTGGTTCCTTCGAATTCCATCTGGCATTTACACTGAAACTTCTATGACAAAGAAATGAGTGGTGGGAGGGGGGAAGAGATGGCTACTGCATGCTGGAGTGGCAAGGGCAACCCCAAAGCTTTAAAGATAAGGATAACAGGGGCATTTTATTTAAATTGTGAGACGGATGTTGGAGACCATCTCCTGCAAACACTGGGGAGCCCACTGATGGGAAGCAGGGCTTCAGGGAGTTACGCCAAAATGGCTCAATGCCAACTGGTACCCCCAAGGCCAGGGGCCCACCAGCCCTGAGCCACCTCTCCTTGTCACCAAGCTGAGAAAAGGCCACTGTGGGATGGGGTGGGGGGCATGGGTTGGCCCTGGGGAGAACCAAGAACTGTTGTTAAAGAGCGCGGCTGCTGGGAACCAGGTGGCACAGATCAGGGAGGATGAGCACCTGCGAATAGACCGCAGGTGTCTGAGGAAGAGAAAACCCGAGCAGACTCGCAGGCTTCGCCCAGGGCTCGTTGCTTCCTGGAGGAGCTTGGGGCTGGAGACTTGAGTCTCTAGCGGGGCAGGCTCTGTGGCAGAGTGGCTGAGGAAAGCACAGTGCCAGCTGAGGGGACGATGGAAGACCCCGGGCAGGGCTCCCTGGGCACAGCCTCCAGCAGCCTCAGGCAGCAAGCAGGGCAGAGGACTGCTGCCCTGAGAGTCAGCAGGTGAAAGCAGAGCTCCAGTCTCCGTGGGGTGGTTAGGAAAGGGCCTCATCTCCAGGCCGAGGTGCTGGGCCGGCCCATCCTACCCCCAGGGTGTGGAGTGTTGGGGGCTGTGTCCTGGTGAATAGAAGATCAGACACACCTTCTCAGGAGGTCCCAGCAGAGCCCAGGGAACCCACGCGGCTCCACAGGGCTTTCCTCGGCCTTCAGAAGCAGCTCCTCAAACACCACCCCCTCCCTCAGGGTGCCCCCGTCATCAGCGTTGTTGATGGGGGAGCTGCGGGCTCATCGAGGACCGAAACGGGCCCGCCCGAGATGCGTTCAGCACAGACGCAGACTGCGGGTTGCTGGTTCCATCACTGGGTAGAAACCGCCCTGAGTTCGGGCTGGGACCAGCTCACTTGCTGTCTTGATTCTTCATAATCGCCCTGAGGCTGCACAGAGGCTGGGAAGTCCCCGGGTCGTGCTGGAGTGAGTGGTGCTCAGTTCTCTCCCCCCCGCTTCTCCCCTTTCCTTTCAAGTGGTGCTGCCTGGGTTCCAAAATGTGTTACGTGTTCACCATGGACAGATTCAGTAACACGGAAACGTGACAATTAAAGGAATCACCAAATACCCCACCCCACTGCTAGCACTCGGACATGTTTCCTTAATGTATTCTTTTCTTACTTGTTTTATGAAAAAAAGTTCTTAGAAGCAGTGATCTTTTGTTAGCGACTAACACTTTTGTTCCTGATCGTAAAGGTACGCTTCTCAGCCATGTGAGATTGTGGTGGACTGCGGACCCTTCACCGACAGGAGTGGGTTGTACGGAAGGCTGCTGACGGAGTTAGAAGAAGCACTTAATTTTATTAATGACTGTAACATATCTGTACATTCGAAAGAGAGAGATTCTACTTTAATTTCTAAGCAGGTAAGCATATTTAGAAGAATTGCAGTGAGTATGATAAAAGCCTTCTGTTTGCTTTAAATATGACATTAACAATATGCTTCCAGTGGGGCCATTTTCTATATGTTTTAGTTGAAGGCCTTCTCTTGCTTCCTGTCTGGGAGGAACCTAACTGCAGTGGGCTGAGTTTCCTGTTACCTGACAGACATCTGTGTTATGCAGTGTAGACCTCCCTGATTTAAGCAGATGAGTTAGGAGTCACATCAAGGTATTCACGTATAAGGAGTGGGTCTGGTTAGTTCCCCTTTGGTCATGTGAGTTCACACCCTCAGACTGAATGAGCTCTGCTGCCATTTCCCTTTGAAATTCGAGAAGCGCCTACGAGTCTCACCAATGGGCCCAGGCTCAGCATCTCCTGGGAACGTGTTAGAAATACCAGCATGGTGCCCTCCAGACCTGGGGAAGTGTAAGCTCCCGGAAGGGGTCTGGTCGTCTGGGATTTGACAAGTCCTCCAGGTGATCCTGATGGGCACAAGCTTGAAACTGGGCGCCAGGCACTTTGTGGGAATGTTATGCGAAGTCTGGGCCGTCATTTCTTTCCTGCTGACGTTTCCTGCAGCAGCAGTGCTCAAGCCTTTCTCCGCTGGCGGTACCTGCTGGTCACCTGCAGAACTTCCGATTGCCTGGTTCTGCCTGGTCACGACTCACACTCTACTCTGAGTGAGCCTTGGGCCAGGCACGCTGAGCAGACACCAGTCAGAAGCTGGTTGTACTGCAGTGATAACGGGACAGTCGCACAGGGTTTAGAACAGTCTCAGCATGGCGGCCTGGAGTGCTGGGTTAGACTGGCCCCAAGTCATCTGTAGTTCTGGTCTTTTTCCTTTTAATGTTCATTATAGTAGAATATATATAAAATCAGGATGTTGTCTGTAGATAAAGTACAGGGGAAGCTGCTTTGCTCTTCCTTGATACCTAACGTGAAATTACTCTTACATAATTCCTTGTGTATTTTGCCAGGAAGTCAGTGGCTCAGTTGTAGTTCTAACCAGTCACAGATTTAAAATGAAGTTTAATTCACCTTTTACATGACTGTACCTTTACATTTCTGTTATTTGTTATCAGGCCCCTCCCCCCCAAAAAAAGATGGTTCTGGCTGTGGGTGCGCGTGGGTCTGCGTTCTGGCTGTGGGTGCGCGTGGGTCTGCGTTCTGGCTGTGGGTGCGCGTGGGTCTGTATGTGTGTATCTCCAACAGCTAACTGGCTGCTGTGGAGTCAGTGCCGACCCAGACGCCCCTGGGTGTCAGAGTGGGACTGCCCCCCATAGGGTTGTCAGAGCCTGATTGTTTGGGAAGTTGCCAGGCCTTTCTTCTGAGGTGCTTCTGGGCGGACTCAAACCTCCAACCTTTTGGTTAGCAGCCAAGTGTGCTGGCCTGGCCCTGGGGTCGGGCCGTCAGGGGTGTGTGTGTGTGTGTGTGCATGTGTATGTGTGTGTGTATACACTTTCTATGTATATATGTATTTTAAAAAAGCTTCGTTGACTTGATTCTGACTCATAGTGACACTGTGCCACGGGGTTTCTAAGGCTGTGTATCTTTATGGAAGCAGACTGCCACAACTTTCCCACAGGGTGGCTGGTGGGTTTGAACCACTGACCTTTTGGTTAGCAGCCGAGCGCTTAACCACTGTACTCCCAGAGTGCCTTTCTCTAGTAGAGCTTGAAGAGACCACTGGCCCCTCCCGCTGACCCAGAGAAGTAACCTGAGGGTTTATTTTAGTGGGTAAATTGATGCTGAGGCGGCAGTTCAAGGCCAAGCTCATATGGAAATGCTACATGGTTACTGAGTAGCCCCTGACTTCTGAATGTTTTGTAGATACTATCAGAGTGCCGTGCGGTGTTGGTCGTTTTGGGCCCCTGGTGTGCAGACAAAGTAGCTGGAATGATGGTCAGAGAGCTACAGAAACACATCAAACACGAACAAGAGGAGCTGCACAGGAAGTTCTTATTGTTTACAGACACTTTCCTACGGAAAATCCATGCACTATGTGAAGAGCACTTCGCACCTGCCTCACTTGACCTGAAATTTGTAACTCCTAAAGTCATAAAACTGCTTGAGATCTTACGCAAATACAAGCCCTACGAGCGGCAGCAGTTTGAAAGCGTTGAGTGGTATAACAACAGGAACCAGGATAATTACGTGTCGTGGAGCGACTCGGAGGATGACGATGAGGATGAAGAGATCGAGGAAAAAGAGAAACCAGAGACAAATTTCCCTTCCCCGTTTACCAATATTTTATGTGGAATTATTTTTGTGGAGAGAAGATACACAGCGGTTGTCTTAAACAGGTAAAATTTGAAGACGAGCATTTTGTCCCTGTGGTAGAACAAGGAGGCTTGTTGTTTGGCCCTGCGACGTGCTGTAAGAGCGCTGGGAGCCAGCAGAGGGGTTGTGTAGGTGTCCTCCATCGGGCCGTCGTACTTCACGGGTGTGCCCCACGGGGGTTGGTAGATGACTTTTATGTGTGCAGTAGCGTTCCCAAAAGGCTGCATTTGGCAGACTGACTTTTTCCTTAGTGGATGCTAATCTACTGAATCCATCTAAATAGAGAGCAGGTATAGAAAAAGGCAGTTCCGTTAAAGTGAAGCAGTCTTTGTTTTTAACTCCATTCAGTTACATTCCAGCCAGATATTTATTAATCTCTGTGTGCTGGGCGGCGTGCTAAGATTTCACCCCAGACTTTCTCCCGTCAGTAATCTTAGGATACAGTTTATCTGGCTGTTACTGTGGCTGATTGATGGTAACGCTGTTTTCTTAAAGGAAGGTGGATTCAGGTTTGCAGGTCTGCAGTGGAAAGAGTTGAAAACGACTGGACTTTTTAATTTCTAGTAGTTCATTTGGCTGCGTGTTAAATTCTGGTTCAGAAGAGAAGGTGAATGATGAGGAGGAGTCCTGAGAGTGTGCACGGAGGTGGTGAGAGTGGGTCCCATTGTGGGTTGTGAACCCAGCCCCTGAGAGTTGGGTGTTGTCGAGCTGACTTGACAACACCTACCAACCACAGCCCCCCCCCCCAGTGAACATTCATGTTGCCTGGCTACAGACCCCGCCGAGGAGCTGTACTTGACATTCGTGTCAAATAGTCGCTTACTGCGTGGCTCTTTAGGTTTGGCATAGATGCTCTGTTTTTTCTGCCAAAAAAAGGGCCTTTATTTTGTTCTTAAGACAATCTGCTTTTCTGTGAGATCTATTAATTGGCCAAAGTTGATCCCTCAGAGCCTTTTCTGCAAGTAGGGATCTCTGAGGAAAAATTAAGCTTTGTTTCCTGAGGTAATTGGCATTTTTTTTCCTTAACTGCTGCTAAATGTTTAGAGGTTTTAAAAACTTTTGAGTAAGGAGAAATTGGACTCTAGGGTGGTCATCTGGCAGCTTTCAGTCTGGTGAGTTTCATAGTCAGTGGGGCGGATCCTTCTGATGAATGTGAAATAAAGTAACTTCAGGTAACGAATTACATTCCTATCAGAGGGTTTATGGTTGGACAGGGACCTCACAGACTGACTGATCTAACCCACTTGTTGTCTTAAAAAAAAAAAACAAAAAAAACCAGAAACATAGGGCCTCAGGAGGAAAAGTTAAGTGCTAGTCATGGCAGAGACAGTCCTGCAGCCCTTCGGTCCTGACTCCTGACCTCTAGTTCTGTCTGTAGCCGTCATGCGCCGGGGCTCAGAGAGTACTCGACACCCGAGTGGGCAGTGGGAAGGCAGCTGGACTGCTGAGGGGGTATCAGAATGGGGACCGGAAAAGATGAACTTTTCTGACCCTTCTGGCAGAGCTCTTGGCCTAGTTACAGAACCCCACCTTCACCCATTCAGGAGGTTGAAGGATTGACTCTGTTTTCTCTTTGCTTTTCTCTGTGTCTGTTTATGTACAGATGTGCCAGTTCTCGTTGCAGAAATATTAACCTGAAAGGGTTTATCCATAATCGGTTCCTTTGAGGATCAGATTAATTATGATCCACTTTCATAAACTGTGGCTGGAATTCAGTGTCGTGTGATGACTCGAGCGGTTGCCGGTTGGGTTTATAGGCAGCTAATTAAATGTACAATAGGGGTCTTGTTCCAGTAAGCTTTTTAATAAGCTTAGAAAAACTTCCTGAAGTCCAGATTCTTTCCTTCCATCAGTTTAATGGGAGGAAAAGCCCTTCTTCAGTGAACGGGTTCAGGGGACTTTGAGCTATTGTGACATGCACGCAGCTTTCTATTCTGATGAAGAATGGATCACAGTCCTGTTGTGTGTAGGGGTGGTGTGGTTGTGTGTTGATCGTTTTCCCTTTAGTTTATATTCACGTGGGACTCTCTGGTTCCTAAGTTACCTTTGTACATTTAATTTTGATGACACTCCCTGAGGGAGGGAGGGAGAGAGGGAGGGAAGTGTTCCTGCCATATTACAGATGAGAATACCAAGGCTCGGTTGGTGACTCCTGAAATCACACAGATGACTAGTGGTAGAAAATGTTTTGTCTCCTGGTTGAGTGTTTTCCACTGTGTGTGTAACCTCCTAGTGGTGTGTGACATGGACAGCAGACAAACCTGGGTCACTCCTATCTCTATGCCCCCGTGTCCCTGATCAACTTTTACTTTGGCATAAATTTGCATTTACAAGACGGTTCCAGAGAGTTCCCTTGTACCCCTCACCCGGTTTCCCCTGCTCCCCCATTTTTCACAGCTTCCATTTCCATCTCTTACATTATTTCCATGATATATTTTCCACAGCTAGGAAACTGGCAAGGAGCTCTGGTGGTGCAGTGGTTAAGGCATTTGCCTGCTAACCAGAAGGTTGGTGGTTCGAACCTGCAAGCTGCTCTGCAGGAGGAGATGAGGCGGTCTTCTTCCATAAAGTTTTATGGTCTTGGAAACCCTATAGGGGTCACCATGAGTTGGAATCAACTCCATGGTAGTGAATTTTTTTTTTTTTTTGGTTTGAGGAAATGGCATTTGTACATTAACTGAATACCAGATTTTTTTAGGGTTTCACCAGTTGTCCTTTTAATGTCTTCTCTCCAGCCCAAGGAACGAGACTGAGTTGCCGTGTCCTCAGGCTCCTCTGGTCTCTTAGGGCCTCTCAGTCTGTCCTTGTTTGTATTGACCTTGACAGTCTTGGGGAGTTCTCGTCAGGTATTTTGTAGAATGTTCCTCAATTTGAGTTCATCTTAGGTTTTTCTGAGAATTAGACTTGGGTTATAGGGGCAGAGTACCCTTCTGGCTGGTGGTGTGGTGGTTAAACTCTCAGCTGCTAACTGAAAGGTCTATGGTTTGAACCCACCGGCTGCTCCGTGGGAGAAAGATTAAAGCCTTGGAAACCCCATGGGGCAGTTCTACTCTGTCCTATAGGGTCATTAAGAATCAGAATTGATTTCATCTGCAGTGGGTTAATAGTATCAACATGAGTTATCACAGGTGATGTTCATCTTCAACACTTGGTTAAGATCAGTGTTTGCTGGGTTTCTCTTCTGGGGAATTACTGTTTTTCCCTTTCATACTCTAGCCCATCCTGGGAGGTGGGGAGAGGAAGGGGTTAAACTCCACCTCCTAAAGAGAGCTGTATTTACTTATATTCTTTGGAATTCTTTTGTAAGGAAAATTTGTCTCTTTTACCAATTTATTTATCTGTGTGTATATATTCGTCTCACCTATTTTGGTCATATTGTCAGAAGGGTCCAGTCTCTGGAGAAGGACAGCATGCTTGATAAAGTGGATGGTCAATGAAAAAAGGGGAAGGCCCTCAACGAAATGGACTGACAGTGGCTGCCACATGGGCTCAGGTATAGCAAGAATTAAGAGGCTGGCACACGATCAGGCAGTGTTTCATTCTGTTGTACGTAGGTCGCTATGAATCTACTTGCCAGCACCTAACAGCGTTTAATTGAATCATACATGTTCATCAGTATGGCTTCATGTTTGTTTATTTTATACTTTGGATTATTGTCCACTATGTTTTTTATTTTGTGGCTCAAATTGTTCCCACTTGGGCCATTGGGGAGCTCTTGGCAGTTACTCTGGGGGTCCCTTTGATGGCCCCCATCCTTTCTGGTCTGTCAATGCTCCAGGCTCTTCCTGGGTTTTCTCTGCCTCCACTTTAGAATTGGCTGTTTGTCTAGTGAGCCCTGGTTCCTTTTACTTCTACCCACTTTTTAGATGTCTATTTTTTGAAAGTTATTTGACTTTTTTTTAATCATCAGCTTTTTCTTTTGTAAACTGATAATAATAAGCCCTTTCTTATTGGGTTGTTACTAAGGTTCAGATGACAGGGTATATAAAACTAGCTACCTTATCACCTGGCACACAGTAGGTGCTAATTCATGCACACATTTGGGGGCTATGATTAGAGAGGAATTACATTTGATATTCTCAACATTAATAAAATATAGAAGTATTGAAGTTAGATCTCAAGTGATATGTCGATGTGTTTGTGTCCTTGGATTAGTCTATTCAGTCAGCTCTTAGGTTTTTATAAATCATCCATGACTTTTCTCAATCTACCCTGGACACTTGTAGCTTTGGTATCGCTGTTTGCAGTCTAACTGGGAGGTGACACACCGGCTGTGTACACAGATGTCACTGTGCTCCTCAGGATGCAGTCTGCCGGTGGTGCCGCCCACCCAGGCCTCAGCTCCATGACCCGGTCAACCAAGATGAGAATGAGCATTTAGAAACTTCATAGCAGTTTGATAGTAATTTGATGTCTGTTAAATATCATAAAAATTGGCACTTGAGTTTTAATGCTTTTAAAATTTTGTTGTAGGTAGTTGTTGTTCTTAGATGCCATGGAGTTGGCTCTGACTCATAGTGACCCCGTGTACAACAGAACGAAACACTGCCCGGTCCTGTGCCGGGCTCATGATCCTTGCTATACCAGAGCCCATCGTTGCAGCCACTGTGTCAGTCCAACTTGTTGGGGGCCTTCCCCTTTTTCACTGACCCTCCCCTTTACCAAGCATGATATCCTCCAGGGAATGGTCCCTTCTGACAGCATGACCAAAGTAGGTGAGGTGAAGTCTGGCCATTCTCGCTTCCAAGGAGCATTCCAGCTGCACTTCTTCCAGGACAGATCAGTTAGTTCTTCTGGTAATGGTAGTCATTGAATAATTCTTCTCTAGAATTGTAGAAAACTGTTGTCTGAGGGCCTGAACTTTTAAAGAAAACCCAGCTCTTCCCCGTGGATGGGTGAAGCAGCCCTGTCCAGAGCAGCAGGAAAGCTTGTCAGATGGTTCACTCTTGGCTTGAGTCAAGTTGGTCGAGAACCAGAGGGCACCGCGGCTCTGTCTGCCGGGTGCTGTGCTCACTTGTGAGCCCCCTGAGAACAGTGGACACTTGCTTTGTTTCCCCTGAAACTTAGAATTTATAGCTTGTCTCAGGCACATGCAACGCACTGCCATCAAGTCAATTCTGACTCAGCAGCCCTGTAAGACAGAGTGTAACTGCCCCATAGGATTTCCAGGGCTATACTCTTTATGGAAGCAGACTGTAGGTACCCCTTAAATTCATCCAGTAGAAAAACCACACCCACTGCCATCGAGTTGATTCCAACTCACAGGGAGCCTATAGGACAGAATAGAACTGCCCCATTCACAAGGCTGTAAGTGTTTATGGAAGCAGACTGCGTCATCTTCCTCCTCCCAGAGAAGCTCATGGGTTCAAACCGCCAACCTTTTGGTTAGCAGCTGAGTGCCTTAACCATTATACCACCAAAGCTCCTCTCATCCAGTGGAGGAGTAGGTTTTTTTCTCTCTGAACTTCATGCATCAGCACAGGCATGTCGCGTTTCATTGTTGATTGATGTACTTGCTCGCTCTGCTGTATGGGGTGGGGGTGCTCATTCATGAGAGGTGTTTCTTCTTAGCACTTCCATTCTCAGCTAATTGAAACCTCCCAGATTGAGCAGGTTGGCAAACAAAACACATCAGTCACTGACGGGAGTAAGTGAAGTGCTTTCTGTTTCTGCGGTTACCTCGGCTGTGTTCACCTTGGTGCTCAGGTCCGCTGAGCTCTGGATGGGCAGATTCCAAGATCCTTTACCTGTCGCAGACTTTGGGCTGTGCTGTCTATGGTTTGTATGGATGCCTGGTGTCTTGACTGACATTGTGAGTTCATTATCAGAGTGATGCACTTTGGAGCGGTGAGGATGTCTTGGACTCTGGCCTTCTGCCCCGTGCACTGTAGGAAGCGTTCTCAGGCTGGCCTGGGCGCACATGCTTTGCAGACTGGGAGTTGGAGAGAGTCTGGGCACCCACACAGGGGTTCTCCCAGCTCTCTGATACTAGGCTGTTTCGTGTGCTTAGGACAAGAGCAGGAGAATGGTTTGACTTAAAGGCAGTTTTCTGTTCAGAAGGCCTCTCTATTATCTGGCTTCAGAAGAGCCACGTGGAAGCACTCGGCTCGGGGCAGCACCATTTCTCTTCTGTGCCGAGTTTTTGAATGTGGGCATTTGCACACTAGCTGCCTTGGCAACGCTGTTAACCTCCTGTACCTGTGTAATGTGATCCGTCCTGCAGCTGTCTGTCATTCCACAGCTCGAAGGCCAGCTTCAGTCACCGGTGCCCCAGCTGATAGAAAGGAGCAGGCAGGAGGGACAAGGTGGGGCCGTTGTGTGCCAGCTGCACAGCTTTGGGGAGCAGGGTCGGCAGGCAGGCAGTATTGGGAACTGAGTGGCATTGCTCTCCTCCCAGTGATGCGCAGGGTGTTGGGGTGAGATGGGAGGGAATGATCAGGCTTGTCTTTCACGTACAGCTGGAGTGCGTTTCTTAAATTGAGAGGGGGCACGGGGTTTGCTTTGCTGCGGAGATTATCTGTTTGGTGTCAGTGTTGGTCCTTGTCCTGTGTATACACAGCCAACAGAGAAAGGCTACGCCTGTCGGCCCTGTGTTTGGAGACGTGCACTGAGCTGCGTGGTAGCTTTCTTCCTCACAAAGTCCTGTCCTGAAGCTGGGGGCTGAGGGTGAGGACCCATGCTCCTCTCAGCCCTCTTTGGCCCCGTCCTGAGCCACATTTCTAAGAAGTCATTGTTGCCACTCAGAAAGCTTAAGGTAACGTAGCCATGTCGTTGCCAGTATAGGTTGACCTCATAGTTAGTATTATACATACTTTGCAGATCAGCGGGGTGAAGAGTGGCTGGGATGTCTCTTGAACCTAGTGGTAACAAAACCAAAAGATATATTTCCATTTTAAGGGAGACGTTACAAACAAAAGTTTAAATTACTTTTTCCCTCCACGATGTTTAACTTCCAAATGTGTATCGTCTTCTTAGACTGATAAAGGAAGCTGGCAAACAAGACCCAGAACTGGCTTACATCAGCAGCAACTTCATAACTGGACATGGCATTGGGAAGAACCAGCCTCGCAACAAACAGATGGAAGCTGAATTCAGAAAACAGGAAGAGGTAACTTAAGTGAAAACTGTCGTACACTAGCCGTCTCCAGAGTGATGCAGACAGACTCTGCTGTAGGGAAGTCCTTCCGTCCTAGGCCCCTGGTATTTGTTCACATGTAGACAGTCTGTCATCTAGAACAGCTGGCTGTCTCCTCTGAGGGGGCTGTGCAGGGATCATGTGCTCAGAGATACAGTAGCTGTCCAGTAAGTCAGCTGGTGTCTAAACTGTCACCTGCCGTTTCATTTGCTTTAGTGGAATGGTGGCCTGTAGTTCCTTCCATAGAAAAACTAAGGTGGGACCAGGAAGCCCCTCAGACTGTGAAGCGGTGGACGGAAATCTCTGCCTAGAAAGGGGCTGTGTGTGTGTGTGTGTGCCTGCACGCGTGCTCATTTTCAACCCTAACTCCTTCGTTTGGTACTGAATTTTTTAAGATTTTAGCTTAATTTTTCTCATATTTTTTAAGGTCTTAATATATAGGCAATAGCATTGGAAAGATGCTAAAATCTAATATAGTATTCTGACCAACAAACAAGAACCTTTTATTTAAAGTATGTTGTATAACTTTATAGGCCTTTTGGTGGCATAGTGCCTAATGCATTTGATTGCTAACCAGAAGGTTAGTGGTTCAAACCCACCAGCCATTCAGTGGAAGAGAGACCGGGCAATCTACTTCCATAAAGATTTACCACCTTGGAAACGCAATGGGGGTTGCTATGAGTTGGAATCAACTCGATAGCAGTGAGTTTGCTTTGTTTTATGTAACTAACATAATTAGCAGAATAATGCATGTTGGAATCACTTTCCAAATCATAGCTTTTTAATAATATTCCAATTTAGAGTAGTCCAACAGCCACAGTTGGCTAGAATTGCCCTTCTAAAAATCAGTGTATTTTGTTAATTTACGCTGGGTGGCGAATAATGTCTGTTTTAACTATTGTGTAAAAAAAAAAAAAAAAAAATTCACATACTTTAAAATCATAATTCTAACTCCTTAAATTGAAAATTCCCAAGATGCCAGAAAAGGATTGCTCACCTTTAATTCTAAGTGGTTGAAGGATTTCAGTGAAAGATTTTTGACATTTTTGGACCAAGTATCACAGAGCTGAGCTGTCACTGTGGAGGGTCAGCCTCTCCCCAGGTCTCCAGAAGGGAAGGGCATTCATGTGGCCACTTACCGGCCTGGATCCACTTGGGTCGTGAAAGAAGCTAGCCCCTTAGCCTGAAGGCTTGCTGTGATTTGTACATGGGTACTTAGGTAAAACAGAAAGGCACTGTGCCGTGTTTTAGATGTTAGTGTCGTGAAATACAGAGAGCAGACGTGTCGTCATCAGCATTTTTAGTGTACAATTCCATGGCATGAATTAAACGTACCATGTGCTGCCATCACCACAATCCAATTCCCAAAGTTCTGCGTCCCCCCAAACAGACCTGGCACTCCCCTCCCCACCTCTGCTTCCATGGATCCACTTTGATCTCTTGGCAGTAAGGCCTTTCGATTTTTAAGTCTCGTCCAGTTAAAAAGTACTCATTAAATTGCGGTTTCTTTGCCCACGTCTCCATGTATCTCAAGTTTTCTCTTACTGTCGTCTTTTAGTCTGACCTTAATAATACCTCATGTCCAGAGTGTGTGTCAGAAATGACATTGTCACTTAGGATACTGTTTTCTTTAGAAATTAATTGACACAGTACTGTGAAGTCTGACACAAATGAGCATGAAGAAATTGAGATGCGTATCTCAGAGTTGCTTTTCTTGGTTGACTTTTCTTTCTTCTTTCTTTTGCAGGTACTTAGGAAATTTCGAGCACATGAGACCAATCTGCTTATTGCAACAAGTATCGTAGAAGAGGGTGTCGATATACCAAAATGCAACTTGGTGGTCCGTTTTGATCTGCCCACAGAATATCGATCCTATGTTCAATCTAAGGGAAGGGCCAGGGCCCCAATCTCTAATTACATCATGTTAGCAGATACAGACAAAATAAGAAGTTTTGAAGAAGACCTTAAAACCTACAAAGCTATTGAAAAGGTATGAGCCAAAAATAAATGTGGCGTGTTTAAAGAGTTACCCGTTTTTGTGTGCATGTTGTTGTTGTTAGGTGTGGTCCAGTTGGCTCCCGCTCACAGTGACCCTGCGGGTGACGTAATGAAACGCTGCCTGGTCCCGCGCCGTCCGCCATAATCCTGGAGCCTGTTATTGTGGCCACTGTGTTAGTCCATCTCGTTGAGGGTCTTTCCCTTTGTCCCTGACCCTCTCCAAGCACGAGATCCTTTCTCGGGAAGGATTTCTGTGTGTGTAGAAATAGTTGAGAATGGTTTTATCTACAGAGAATGGTTTAATGGGGAGACCCACAGTGTGTCTGTTATAAGAAAGTTGGGAATGGTTCCAGACAGAGACCCAGCAATGTGGTACGACGTGTTTGAAAGCTTACAGTAAAGTAGCAATGGAAATGATCATGTGGAATATTAGCATTATTAGTGTTACCTTCTTAGGGCCAGGGAAGTGACTGCTTACTTGAGTTGTGGAGTGATTGGGACTGATGACATAGTCCCTGTATTGATGAGAGAGTCACACATTTACGAGTGGATGTGTACACTGTAGCCCTGTACCTGTGGTGGGTGTCTGTGCGATTGGAGCCGGGAGGGATTCTGGGGAGCAGGGCCCTCCTTTGGGATATCGAATTATGTTTGAGGAGATAGATGTTACGGGTGGAGAGAGCTTTTTCTGTAGGTCCAGAAGCAGACAGCTCACTTACGGCAAAGAAGTTTTTTCTCATCAGAAGTTCTGTTTTGAAAACGTTCAGATCTTGAGAAACAAATGTTCCAAGTCGGTTGATGCTGGTGAGACGGACGTGGAGCCTGTAGTAGACGATGACGATGTCTTCCCACCGTATGTGCTGAGGCCTGATGACGGGGGTCCCCGGGTCACGATCAACACGGCCATCGGACACATCAACAGGTACCGTCATCTGCGTGGCAGCCTGCCGGCGTCGCAGGGTGTAATCTCAGCCGCTCGGTACCGTGTTGTCATTCGTGTTTTGCAATCACTGACCTTTTCATTTATGGCAGGTAATGTTTTGAGGAGAGAAGAAAGAGTAGTTTTGTTTCATTTGTTCTTTTTTTTTTTTTGGTTAAAACGTAAACACTGTATTGTTAGTAAGAAATGTTGAATGCTTATTGACAAGGGTGACACGATGTTTATTTTGGTTAGAATTAATTTAATATTCACTAATTTTTTTCTACATCTTAAAATTTGTTATTTTGTGCCATAAATGTCGGGTAACGAGTTTCTCGTTAGCAATTATGTAAGATCTGAGAAAGTAATTTGTGTTTTTGAGTGTCCTAATTCACTTTGTCTTGAGCTGGCAGTACTATCTCTAAGAACTAAGAACAGCGTGTATGTATCTAGATTACATATCGGGATAAATTTCATTCAGAGATTAAGACTAAGGCACAGACGTAAGCTTGTCTCTTTAGTTTTTTCCTCCAATTTCTAACTTTGAAAAGTTGCAAGAATGCTGCCCAGAACTCCCATGTGCCCTTACCTTCAGAGACCCATGCAGATTTTAGAGGTTGTCCTTTGCAGCAAAAGTGTCCAGTCCGTGATCACTGCTGGTATCCATCGTTACAGCTCCCTAATCTCCTTCAAGGAGCCCTGGGGGCTCAGTGGTTAAGTGCTGGGGTGCCAGCTGGAAGGTTGCAGCTCAGACCCATGCAGCTTCTCTGGGGGGCGAAGACCTAGCCATCTCCTGTGAGAGATGACAGCCTAGACAACCCTCTGGGGCAGTCCTCCTTTGTTACGTGCGGCTCCCAGGGTTGAAACCGACTCAACAGTATCTAACAGCAGTGGTCCCCTTCAGCCCGGAACTGATCTTCAAGCTTTCTTTGACTTTCATGGGCTTGAAACTTCTGAACATCTTTGGGGTTATCTGATATTTTCTCAGGATTAGCCCCAGGTTATCCATTTTGGGCCAGCTCATTACTGGGAGCTCTGGTAGCGTAGTGCCTAAGGCCCTTGACTGCTAACCAGAAGGCTGGCTGTTCAAACCCACCAACCACTCCTCAGAAGGAAGGTTGCTCCATCTACTTCCGTAGTGATACTGCCTCGGAATCCCAAGGAGGGATCTCTGTGAGTTGGATCCAACTCGACAGCACATAACCACCACAAAACAATCACTGAAGTCATACTGTTTCTTCTTTTTGCACCTTACTGGGTGGCATATGATGCCACTTAGTCCACTTACTGGTGGTGGTAACTTTGATAACTGGAGTAAAGTCTGCTAGCTTTCTCTACTATCAGGCTGTCTTTTCTCCCCATTAAAATTAGCAAGTGTTGCATGGGGAGATGCTTTGAGACAATGTAAAATTTATCCCTCTCCCCACTTCCACCCATTGTTTAGGCACCACTGGTGGTTCTTGCTTGAGTTGTTACTGTGATGAGTGCCGGATGGAGGGTGACTTTCTAGTAACAGTCCCCTCTCTGTTTACTAGTCGGCATTCTGCTATAAAGGAGTGCTTTCTCCTCACGCCGTTTGTTTTGTATCTCAGTGTGGACTTAGGGCTTCTGTTTTCTTCAGTGGGTTCTGTTCTCTTTGTCTGGTACTATTTATTACTTATTTATTTTGGTATTAAAATTGTCCTAGATATGGCCAGTGGGAGCCCTTTCTGTGTCTGACATGTCCCCATTGTTCTTTGAACACATTTGTACTTGATGTTACAGCGAGATGTTCTAAACTCAAGAGTTTCCTTGCCTGTACTCGGAATTGGCTCTTTTTCCAAAGGCTCTGGCTCCTGACTCTACTGGGTTGCCATCCGGTCCAGTGCCCAGGTCCCTCCTTGGCCCCTGGCTCCCTCCGGCTGCCTTCCTGCCCTGCTCGGACACTGCCCTGTGCTGCTGCTGTGTGGCCGTCTGCCCTGATGCTTTCCGGTGTCAGCGCTGGGCGTCCTTCCACCTTCTGCGCATGACTTTCTTGCACAGGTGCCGGTAGTTGCTGGCAGATGAGGTTGTTGAAAATAAGCCCTGGTGTGGTATGTTCTCTTTGATGCAGAGCAGCCACTCCTCAGAAGGAAGTCTGAGTCCACCAGGTCCACCAGGGTAGGCACGTGTGACTATTTCAATTTCGGTTACATTATAACTGTAGTTAAAATTATGTGAAGTTTAAAATCCAGTTCCTGAGTTACACTTGCCACATACTGAGCCTGGTTGCTGCATGTAGTTCTTGGCGGCTGTGCTGCATGGCACGGAGCAAGTCTTGTCACAGGAAGTGCTGCTGATGGTGCTGTCGTCCTCACTGAGATGGAAGCGGTCAGTCCCGGAGGACAGGAGCCACGAGGAGTCACACAGCCTTCCGCTTGTGAATACCAGTGCAGCCCGCTCCGCCTCCTCCTTGGATGAAGGCTCACCATCAGGATCTCCTTGTCGTTGCAGATACTGTGCTAGGTTACCGAGTGATCCGTTTACTCATCTGGCTCCCAAGTGTAGAACCCGAGAGCTGCCGGATGGTACATTTTACTCCACTCTTTATCTGCCAATTAACTCACCTCTTCGAGCCTCCATTGTTGTAAGTTTAGAAAAAGAAACGATTATGCCTTTCAAATTCATCACTA